GGTGTGCCGTTAAAGCCCGGTCTTTTTATGCATAGGGGTGTTTTTTGTTTTTTTTTTTTTTCCCTAATTTTATTTTTTATTTTTTTTGGTTCCTTTTCGTCTTGGGGCTTTGAGCTTACGGCAAAGGGAAGCATCTGATGCGTCTGCTCACATGCCACTTTTGATCATGCGTTGCCTCTTTGCACAGAGCAGGATCGTTGGGAAAGATGGAGATACAATAAGTTGCTAGGAGTGAAAAGTGCTGCAGAAATCCAGTGGTTTCCTTTCTCCACTGAAGTGACATATTTCTCCTCGGGTTAAGTTGAAAGCGCTGCTCGGCCGAGACTGACTGACTGACTGTAGCTGAGAGGGGGTTTGTGTTTTTCTTGCACGGTTAGGTTTTGAGAAGAGCAGCGATGAAGAGGAAGCTGGCACTCTCCGAGATGCAGTTGGTTCTTCTCGTTTTATTGGTGTGGCTACCAACAAGGTGAGAGGATGCTTATTTCGTTGTTCGGTACAAACATGTATGTTACGATGTGCTAAGGGTAAGCTCATGTGAGAGGTTATCAAAGTATAGTATGTAGTAATGTAATAAAAAATAGCTTTCTTAGCTGCCTGAATGCAGTATTACATAGTTTCCAGAGCAAATGAAGTAGAAGGTGGTCTGGGGAACGTATAAGCCTAATCTCTTGCCCTTAATCATTTTGTGATTTGATGCTTTATTTCAGCATTAAAAAAATAATTCCTTTAAATGCCTTATTGGATCTTAATGATTTATTGGAGTTACTGTATCACTGTGATTCTGTACTATACAGAACAGTTAAGATGGAGAAATAGATTATCATGAAGTCAAACAGCAAATCACAGTCTCTAGAATAATGCTTGCATATTTTTTAATATAGGCATGCCTTTTTTTGTGTCTTTTTTTCTTGGTCAACATAACAGAATTCAAAATGATACTTAAGCTTTAAACCTCTAGGTGGAGATAGCATACAACTTCACAATCACATATAATAAAACAATAGCCTCATTTATTAATCAACTTTTCTTATGTTGTTTGAAGTTCTCAATTTCTGAAGTGGCAACATAAGAGAAAGCGATTTTTATCACCTGATAGTTTTGTGGTACTCACAGTCCCGAAACATGCGATTAGTTGTAGTTTGTAACTTCGGTTTACTTGCTTTGCTTCTGACTGCAGTAGGTCTTGTCCTAATATGGTAAGGATCAGAAGCTAAATAATGCAAGTTTCCCGATTTTCAAAGTCTGCATTTATTTTTTCTCTATTTCCCAGTGAACAAAATATTTCCTGAAACTATGTTTCTTATTCCACTTTATGCCTAACTATGGTGCAGTATTAGTTGAGTCACAGTGGGCCAGATCCTGCAAACCCTACTCAAGTGAGTAATCTCACTGACGTCAAAGAGACTACATGCGTAATTAAGGAGTTTATGCCTGAGTAAAGTTTGCAGGATTCGACCCTAATTTGATATAATTGTATGATCTAATTTTTTAGTGGTATCTCGAGTTCAAAAAAAACCTGTCGTGTCTCAGAAAGAAGCTTAAAAAATGGCAGAGACTGACAGTACAGAAATACATTTTAAAAATAAAAAAATGAGCCATCCGGTAATTAAAATTAAGAAAAAACTCACACATCGGTAAAATCGCACACCATGTTTTGGTATGTTCTGTCTAAGTTATCTGATTTTGGTGGATTCTATGGTTTATGTGATAGAAAACACAGACTGCAATGATTTACATTTAAATACTTCCTCCATGCTGTTGAATTGGGGACCAAAGTAAAGCCCTCTCTTTAATCATTTTATAGCTTGCTTTAGAGAAAATGTCACCCAAACCTACTTTTTGGGTTGGAGGAGGAAGAAAACATGCGTGTTTTCATGGCATTCAGAATGCCTTGATCAGTAGTTCATTTAGAGATGATGAATGCTCAAACATTTTGGGTTAAAAAATCAGATGGCTGAAGAAGGTATAAATGTTAATGCACATAGCATGCAATGCTTTGCTTCCTTGGTACTAATATTCCGATATTAAGTAGGTAAGACCGATAAGCTCGTGCATTTCACAGGCATGGTGCTTAAAATCGGTGGGACAGTAACATCTGCCTGTGCAAGGCTTTCTGCACGGGAGTGTTTCCCCGGTACACAACCCCCTTGGTGGGGATGTCCAGGTCTGGGAGGACTCTTCAGCCCCACAGCAGAACGATGTCGCAGCCCCTGGGGTTTTCCATAGAGATACGACCCATAAAGGCTGTAACATCTCTTTCTTTCTCGGGGAAGTTTGAAGCATTTGATGATCTATAGATTTTTCTCGACACTTCACTTACGGGGTTTTTTTCTACCCAACTTTTAGAAGGTTCGTCTGTGTCTAATGTAACATCGGATAGTGGGTTTTTTTGGTAACAGAATAGCGTTTTAGAAACATGAAGGCTATGCACAGCTAGCCTGCAGCTTGCTAGTCAGCATCGTTGTTCCCACCCACCAAACACTGACATCAGAGGACTCCCTGAGCATGATCGCTGGAGTTTTCCCTCATGTTACTTCTTCTGGTCATGTACGTTACATGACCATTGGGTGGAAGCACATCCACAGGATTTATCCAGAGACGGAGCATACTTAGGTGAGGACAGATAGGATAGAGCTGGAAGGAGGCAGTTTTGCGTGTGGGAACCGGGGTTATCAGTGCGGGAGCGATGTGCCACCGAGGCCCGGGAAGCTCTTTTCGGCTCTTGCACCTGCACAGCCAGATGTGTTAGTGGAGCTTGAAGGAGCACTCATGGGGATGCAATGTTGACTAGAAGTAGAGGCTACTGGAAGATGGAATCCTGGGAATTTTAAATAGTATATTGTCGACTCTTAAGTTTCTGAGCACGTCATATATAAATTGTGTATTCAGACACTCTTAACTACACCCTTCCTATTAGGGGGCAGCAAGTTAAATGTTCAAGGCCAGCCTGCAAAAACTGCATGTTGAATGTACATGAAAGCATATCTAGCACTTTCTAAAATGTAAAATATCCATTTAGATCAGTGCTGGCTGACTCCCTGGAAGACGAAGCTAAGAATAACATCACCATCTTTACAAGAATTCTAGACAGACTTCTGGATGGTTATGATAATCGTCTCAGACCCGGATTAGGAGGTAATAAAAACAATTGAAGATTGATTTTAAAAAGTCAGTTTTAATGTTCAGATTTTATGCAGTGATATTCCTCCTTCAGGGTGGTGGTTTTTTTTTTTTTTCCTAACAACTGGTATGTATCTTGATAAATTATTTATAACTCTATATTCACCCAGCTGAATCATTTGAAGTTTGAGGAAGATAACATCTATGAATGGAAAGGAGGCACTTTCACACGTTTATCTTAAGCAAAAAGAAAAAAATAATCTGGTGATTTAACATAGTAAACCAGAATGAGAACAAAAATAACATCTAAAGCTGTTATTCCAGCCAGGGAATTTTGGTTGAGCAAGGAATGCAGGCTTGATTCCCTGCAATGCGATGAGTATATGTTTTCAGAAATCTGCACAAGTGTTTTGTGTGGTGTGTGTAAAATCCACATTTAGATTCATTCCTTGTCCCAGTAAATTCAATTGGAATGTCGTCATTTTCACTTCCTTGGAATTAGGATTTCCCTGGCATCTTTTTTTTGGGGTACCTTGCGTGTATTTGAGCATTAAAAAAAAAAAAAAGAAAAAAGAGAATATTGGAGGACAGAGGTGACTGCACTCTTGTGTCATGACTGTCAGTTATTTTTCAAAATGTCAGTTCACATTTTTATTTTAAAGCTGTATGCCAGTAAGTATGTAATCAAGAAATTAAAAGAATTTGGTGTTGGAAGTATTACTGTGCAAAAAGATCTCTGTGGTATGGGGAGGGGCAGAATATCCTGGTTTGGATAAAATTTTATCTACTATTATTGTTTATCTGCTATTTATTCTATCTAACATAAATATTTATGCATCAGATATAACATCATTATTATTATTATTATTATTATTATTATTATTCGTAGCAGTTTGGGTAATTGTAATTTTCAACCCGGAGACTGTTTCAGCTTGCCGAAACTAATTCTAGTGCAAAATCCCCGGGAGCCATTCCCATTCCTCTTGATTTCGGTAAGATGAGGCCCAAAGCCAGAGACCTGCTCTAACTTCCATGGAAATTAATCTAACCACTCCGTTTGATCAAATTAAGAATTAGTTAAAGCTCGCAGCTTTTAGCCAACGGTCTTCCATCCTGACCTGTGGCTCTGCTGCCGTTCTGGTTCTGGAGAACCTTTGGCTTGTGTCTGCCACGGCATAAAGTGGGTAACTGGCGCTGGCTGTAAGCAGCATCCTCGTTATGCGTTAATCTCAGCCTGGGATATCTTTGCATTTCCATTGCTGGCCTCTGTAGAGTCCTTTATATTTAAGAGTCCTTTCTATTTAAGGACTTTTTAATTTCGATGATCCATAAAATGAGACATAGAGCACTGTTGATTTGAGAATTTTTATAGTGATGTTTTACGTGGAGACCCGATTTCTTTGCAAAATACCCAAATTTAGGAATTTAGACATAGTATAAACATACAGTGCCTTGCAGGTGACTTGCAGAAACATTTCATATCACAATGCTTGTGTTTAATTGGCAGGGCTTTTAAAATCATGGGATTTATTAGGAAAATAATGAAAAACTCTTTTCTTCTTTACAACAAGGAATGTGCTAGCTAATGAGAGCAGTCTGCCGTTCCTTTGCATCTCATGTATTCTTTTTAATATTAAAATTGATATTGCTGAAAACATGAATTTTAAAAATTATTTTTCTAATGGATTTTTGGTTTAGATTTTCTACTAAATCTACTTCAAAATACCTCCTGTTTTTCTTTGCCAAGCCTCCTAGGTAATTAAAATATACTTTGGGAGCATAAAAATTAAAGAATTAACATCTGTTTGATATTGGCATACATGGCAATCAACCCATGCAGAACATGTGTGAAATGAAACTGTGTCATGCATATTAAACCGTGATGATTCATGATACATTAATCTTAATCTGCAAGAATACTTGAGTTGTGGATGGACGGATTCTTATAGTTTAAAAGAACGCTTGTAAAAGCCAATTGTGATAATCTGTGATATGAAATATACCAGAAAATGGTTTTGTACATAATGCTTAGTAATTATGGAGTTTTGTATTTCAGGATTTTTGTGGCACTTTATTCTTTTTTCTCTGTTAACCTGTACTTTGGGAAAAAAAAAAAAGGAAATAATTAATCTTTTTTTTTTTTTTAAACACTGTGTGCCTAGTGAGTCCTGACAGTTTCTAAAAGTGTTTTTGTATAGACTACTGCATTTTGACCACGCCACATGTCATTAATTTAATATAGTTAGTCTCAGTTCTCTTCCACTTGCATTTATGTGAATCTGAAATAATTCAATTGTAACCAGTAGAGCATTTACTTTGGCATAGCAGCTTGCATTATCCTGCTACACTGCTATGACGGAGATCACAATCTGGCCTAACATGTGCTACAACAGAAATAGTCCAGGGTCTGAGATGGATTCTTTTAAAGTCTTCTGAAAGCAAGAGTTGTTCACCAGCCCGCTCTCACCTGTTGTGAAAGACATTTTCAGAGATGCCTTACAGCAAAAATGCAGCTCATTGTAAAGAATTATTCATCTCAAAAGTGTTTTTAATAATGAAAACTCTTAGCTTAACACTGGCATTTTAGCTAGTTATTGACCGACAAAGTGGAAAGGTATAGGGTGAAAGGCTGTATATAAATTCAATGAAGTAATTGTCTGTTTGGGAATTTGTTCTTGAATTTAGGAATAGATTTAGAATTAATTTTTCTGGGACACTTGGTGTGAGTACTTAGAGTGTGTAACTCGATGCTTTAGTGATACATCGATACTCTTCAGAACTGAGTACTATTTTCTAGAGAATGTTGAGGCGGCTTTAACTTTCACTGGTGATGCAGCACTGTCGTACAAACAGGTTTTGGCTGTTGGCTATTGGCTGTGCTACCAGCTGGGATCCTTGAGGGATGCATGAATACTGTAGTGATGAAATAGCCTGCAAAATGGGTGTGGGCAGGGAAAACAAGACACTGCACTGTCCCCTGAAATCAGAGACATCTCGTCTGACTTAGATGGTACCCTGACCTACTGTGTGATAGGCACGAAGGGATTCAAGGGGAGATGAATTTTTCTCTCTACTCATTTTATGCTAAGCACAGGATTGCAGCTGGAACACTCTTGACTGCACTTTCAGTTCTGACATGAACTGTTTTACCCAAACATTCCACGCCATTTCTGTTTAGATATAAAAATAAATAAATTACAAGTTTGGTTTCAAAACAAATTCCCTATGTCATGAGCTCTAATTTGTATGAAATATGGCCATGCAAATGACAAGTCAGAGTTTGATTGTATGATTTTCTTCAAAATCATGAAGGTATTTTCTTCTATTTATTCGCGCTAATGTTTGCAAGACTTTTAGGGTAGCACTTTTCCATAAATCCTTTGATTTTTATTAGCATATACAAAAAGAAATCCACAAAACAATGGACACTGAAACTAAGCAAGGGACCAAAAAAGAATTAAGATCTTCAATTAATGAGACAACAGAATGTTGAAGCTGAGATACAGCTGCATTCAAATCTGGAAGTGACTGAATTATCTGTCTGCTTTCCTCTGCCCCATGGACAGACATGATTAAAGGAAAAAGGGACATAGATTGAGGTAACGTCTTTTAATATGTTGATGATCTTGTGTGTTAGGTCTGTCAGCAAAAACATCCATCTTTTTAAATGGTAGCTTCTTTTTAAAGATGAAAAAGAGGAAGGAAGGGAGAAGGAATGGAGGTGGTGCTAGGATTTTGATGTTGGATACTTCAATAGTCTTACCATCTCCGTAAGCTATTCAGCCTGCTTTGCTTTCTCACGTTTGAAATTGACCATTTCCAGCAGCTCTAGAACTTCTCTCTGTTTTACTTTCCCAAATTTATAAAATATAATTGAATACAAGACTTAGAAAATATAAAATTTAAATCTTGGAAAAAAAAACCCAACAAACCACCCATGAAGGGAAGCTAAAAGGACAGAGGACTGGACTTCACAGCCTGAAGCCCAGATTTTCAGCCGCCATATTGACATTGAAAAGAGCTTTGCAAATTTATACAATTTGAGGATCTTTCCACAAACTGTGGTCGGTCTCACTGGCTTCAGGAGTGACATTCTCATTGTAACCGAAGAGGTAAATGTTGATTATTACAGAAACTGAGGACCAGACAGTAGGTAGGTGAAAACTGAATGCCACTGTGGTTCCATTCTAAAAGATCCATCTCTGCTGCAAGGTGACTTTAAGATGTTCTGCTTGCTTTAAACGAGAATGTCCATTGCGTTTCACTTACAGACATACCCAAACCTTTTTTCCCCCAACATTTTGTAAATAAATCGAGCAGGAAAACTGAAGAGAACAGGGGAGGATTATTGCTGTTTATTGCTATCAGAGAGATGGTGAGCAGTGAGCACTTGGGTGTATGGTCATTCACCTTTGCAGCACTGGATATATCATTGCGGAGAATCGGTGTAGTAGCACAGAGTATCAGACTCTGATTAAAAGTTGTATGATGTGCTCACTGATATATGCTAAAAGGGAAAAAACATTTTTTTCACAGGAAACTTTTTTCACCCCAGATCAGAAGAGCTCTATATATGTGTTTGTATGTGTGTATGTGTTTATCAAAGAGTTGTACGTCTTCAGCTGCCACAAAACAAGGCCGTGACCATATGCTGATAATCTGGAATATGTTAAATTTAGGGCAGTATATATATATATCTCTGTGATTTGGAGTTTTTGATCAGCTTTAGAAGAGGTTGTAGCTGTAGCAGTGCCCTATCTGGGCACTCAGGACTTGGCAGTGTTTGTCAGCCTCATCATGCTTGATACACAATCAGAGTATCCTAAAAGAAGGTCCTTTGGCTATTTTTTGCTGCAAAACACTACGGGAAAGCTTTCACTACTGTTTTTAAAGGAAAAAGCGCAGTTGCCCTGCTCAGTTCTGGCTATTTCCTTAGCCCTTCTTTGCTCCAGCTTCATCTTTTGGAAATGGTAAAGTCTCTCTGCCAGTGCTGGTGCAGAGCAATTCAGAGCATC